GGGGTCACGAATCGACCAGAATTATTTACTATGTTCTCGTTTATTAAATGCTGACCCAAACGCATTTCCACCGGCCACCGGACATCGAACGGCTATAAAAAATAGTAATGGTTTCATAGCGACGACGGAAAAATCGCTACACCGCCGCTGGAGTCGAACCGTACCGCTCGCAGCGGCGGCGATGGCGACGGCGACGATGAGCGGTGAACCCATCTGGCGGACAGAGCCGTCGGTCGGTGATTGGCTGTTGGCTGGAGTCGGGTGTCAACAGCGATGAAAGTGACCAATAGCAATCGCGAACCTACGGCGACCCGAACGATAAGACAGCCTTCTAAGCGCTCCGAGTGTGAGGGAATTTAGCGGCTATGTTTGGTCGTAATGTGGGATTTGTATGTGTGACAGTGCGATTCAAAGACCACTACGATCAGAACGATCAGAACGAGCAGAACGACGACGACAAGGACGACGGCGACGACAGCTACGATAGCGTCGACGACGACGACGACGACGACGACACCCGCTGTTGGAAGACGACCGGTCGACGACGACTGACTGACAGCATACGCCACCATACACCAACTTGGAAGCGGTTTCTTTTTGCAACTTTGCTCATTGTTATCGGAGAACAGCCGAATCGGTGGTTGGTAGTTGGTGCGGTGCCGCCGACAGAAAAGTCTCTTTCGTCTACCAATGGAGTGCCGCCGACCGGCCGGAATTTATTGGCTTCAACAGCAGCAGTACGTTGTTGGTGCTAGCGGCGTCAAGGACGGCGTTCATGACGTAGCCATTGTGGTCTGTGTCTCTGTGTTCTTGTTGTGCGTTAGAAAACCATAGACACGAGTGCACCAAAGTTCTGGTTCTGTGCGGTGTACTGTCGTCTTGTCCAGCTGACCTTCCTCATTGCCTCGATCGCGTGGCCACCCTCGCCGCCGCTGCCGCTGCCGCTGCCGCCGCCGCCGCCGCCGCCGCCTCCACCGCTATAGCTGTACCGCTGCCAAGCCGTCAAATCCTACTCCTCCCCGCGGCCGTCCTCCTCGTCGTCGTCGGCTTCCTCTTCGAATCGTCCGCAGATTATTGAATAGCTTGGTCGCCGCGTGAACTCTGTTCTTCGCTCCGTCGTCGCGGTTAGGCTGGGTCGAAC